ATTATGGGAACCCTAAACCCTAAATCCCCTTATATAACCCCTATATCCCCCTTTAAGGGTACCCTCCAGAGTCTCAGTGCCAGACTGCAGTGCAGTTCGTGTAGCCAACTCCAGAGATGCAGTGGATGACGAGCCGGATCTGCAAAAAAAAATGGGTACCTTGTACCCCTATAGTGGAGAATCAAATGGAAAAGAAAATGGAAAATGAAATGGAAACTGAGGTTATATGGGTGATTTATTCAAGGATCCAAAAATGGAACCCCCCCCAATATGAACCCATTACTATATTGGGGAAGCTAGGGGATTATTAGGGGGTCCATTTTTTGGATCCTTTAAGTCTTTTTCAGTAGTCTTGCTTAGAACTGGGCACATATGAACTATAGTCTAAACTCCTAATATCCCCCTAACAACCCCTGTCATAGTCCCCTATAAATTTATCTATATAACCCCCCGGGTAAGGATTTAAGACTATATATGGCTCATATCCCGCCGCGTGCGCCGTCCTCCACGGTCCAGTTGCGAAACCGGCAATCGTTGGAGATTTGGGCATCCCAACTCAGTCGGAAGGACCTCAGCTGGCGATCCATGCGGGGGTTTCCCAAAATTCAGGGCACCCTTAAAGGGGGACATAGGGGTCATATAAGGGTATATGGGGGGATAGAGGCTTTAGGGTTCAGGGTTCCCAAAATTAGGGGTACCTTTTTGTGGGTCCCTATACAACAGATGATTCGTATATTCGGGTCTATATTAAGGTCCCCCTATTTCGGGAAAGTATCGTGTGTGTGTGTGCATGTTACACAGCCAAAGGCCAAGAACTCCACTCGTGGTCTGTCTCATTGACTTTGAAGTTCAGGGGCGTCAATGTTGGCACAGGAGCCAGCGTCCTGCGGGTTGGAAGGCAGCTTGTGCACAGTGAAGAAATGAAATCCCATGAGTTCTTAAGTCACTACAACTGAATTTGCGATGCCTTGGTAGCATGTCCGCGGGGAGATAGTAGATTGGACTGTCCAAATATGCAGCACCTCAGCGATGGCAAGAGGGACATTGTTATCAGAAATACGAGTAGTGGTAATAACAATAATAGTAAGAATAGTAACACTAACAATAATAGTAAGAATAATAACAATAGTACTAAGAATAGGAATAGTAACAGCAGCAATGGTAATACTAGTCGTAAGAGTATTCAATCATCTGAAGCACTGCCTCACCAACAGAATAGAAGCTGTTTTATGGATCGGCTCATTTCTTGGGGCCCAGCGTTCGCGTGAGCCTCCCCAAGGATCGTAGATAGACGTGTAGGTCTCACCTGGGCGGCCGAACCCTGAACCCTAAATCCTAAACCCTAAATCCCAAACCCTAACTCCTAAATACTAAACCCTAAATCCTAAATCCTAAACTCCCAATTCAAATCCTAAACCCTAAATCCTAAACCCCAAACCCCACACCCTAAACCCCCAACCCTAAACGTGTAGGTCTCACCTTGGCAGCTGCTATCCAGGATCAACTCTGAGGAGTCTGAGGCTTTTGAACGCTAGGGATGTTTTGTGGCAGTGATATGGGGCGGAATATAGGGGATCTGATAGAGGTTATATAGGGGGACATAGGGTTTAGGGTTTAGGGTTTCCTAAAATTAGGGGTACCTTTTTGGGGGTCCCCAGAATAAGGATGAAAGGTATTTTGGTGTCCATATTGGGGTCCCCTTACTTTGGGACACTACCATATTCCAATAAGTAAAGAAATGCAACATGATTGGTTCATGTCAGGCTAGACAGAGGCAATGCCTATGTTTGCGGTCATTTTGTCATGAGCTTCACTACTGCCCGCAGCCTTGAACTTGCGATCACATGCGATCCACCCCGCTCAGTTGTAGAGCGCCTAGGTATTATTTATAGTCATCGAGCCCTATATAACCCCTATATAACCCCAGTTTCCATTTCATTTTCCATTTTCTGTTCCATTTGATTCTCCATTTTGCGGGGTATCATCCCTCTGCAAAACTCCGGGGCACCAAGCAGATCTCCTGCAAACGAACTTCGAACTCGGTGTTGCTGCGCAGGTGGGCCTTCCGGGAGCGAAGCATGGCTAGGCAGGGCAGTGGCCATGTAGGCATGGGTTTAGGGTTTAGGGTTTAGGGTTTAGGGTTTAGGGTTTAGGGGTTTAATGACCCGGTGTAATGACCCATTGGGGTAATAGGGTTATATTGGGGTTATAATGGAAAAGAAAATGGAAACTATACGGATTATAGGGTATATATTGGGGTACAGTAATATTAGGGTTATATTGGGGTAATGGACAGGAATATGGAAAGTACTACATGTAGGGTTTGGGGTTTAGGAATTAGGGTTTGTTTGGATCTTGCCCCAATAATGGAGAATAAAATGAAAAAGACAACTGCAACAAAAAAGGAAACCACGGCGATACCTTCAGTGTTCAAGGCATTGCTATGCTGGCTGCACAGCCCCAGGATTGGAAACTCTGAGAGCTTCACTCCCCCAAATTAACATGGAAACCCATATAGCCCCTTTTTAAAGGGACTGTAGTCTTTATAGGGCCTTTTTTGGGTTTCCATGTTAGTTTCCGGGAGGCTTGATGCCAAGTTTACTGCCTCCTCGCCCAGGTAGCCCTCATGAAGCATCGTGATGGTGCAGCCTTGCGTACAGGCATTTGACTCGCCTGATTGTGACCCATGTCTGCACAGACAAGATAACCAAAGCCATGTTCACAGACCTGGCGGTTTAGGGTTTAGGTGAGTCTCAAACAAGATAACGAAAGCCATAGTCGGCGCAGACATTGGCCCCTGGCAAAACCCCTACCACTGTAGCTGCTCAGGCCCTGGCTGGTGACTTCCCGAACGTCCCTTCCACACTCAATTGCCTCCCGCCAGACATCGCCTGCGCATGCGAGCTTTTCCAAGGGCAGTCGAACTAAGCAGAAGGTTTGCACAGTGTTGCACATCTTCTTTCTTTGCGCGTTTTCTGCCCGATGCCACAAGACAGAGGCTCAAGTGCCCTGCGGCGAATCCCGTGCACGATCGACTTAGAAGCAGATTGTTCATAAAGTGCTTATCAGTTTGCCAAGGGGGCAAATCAAACCTATCAAAACAAAACGGGCCAGCCTAGAGTGCTATATGGGTAGTTGTCAACCCTAAATATGAGGTGCCGTATTATAATAGGGATCCAAAAAAGGGACCATAATTTTGACAACCACCCATATATAGGCCGGATAGGCTAGGGCGTCCCAAGTGTGGAGGCATTAGCAAACGTTGCAAGCGAAGCACCTGTGTAGTTGTCGTCCTTTATCTCAACCAGCCACTTTTGGTACAGGCAGTCCTTCAGCTGAAGAGCTTCTGCAAGCTAGTGGATGTGTAGAGGCTTTGAATTTGTTTACGGAAGCTCGTAGAATGAAAGGAGCATCACTTGTTCTGCAGCATGTACATGGGCCAGGTTGAGAGGTAGAAACAATGGATAGCCTGTCTGTTTGCCTCGTGCCCAGAAGTAAAACTAGCTGAGACGTCCTACGGTGGATACTAAAAATCCTACATGAGCTCAGTACCTTATACCTTGGGAATAAAGGGACTATAGTATACTAAGGTCATGCAGAATTTTCAGCATCAACAATAGGTCCTAGTTCTTAGCTCACACGCTTGTGGAGCCTCTGGCCTCACCTCTTCGCAAATCGCACGCCTCAAGATTGCACAATGCACGGTACCATCCATCTGGCAATTTGACGTTGTGCCTGAAAAACACTATCCCAATATTACCCCAATATACTATAGTAGTCTCCATTTTCTTTTCCATTATCCCAATATACAACCCCATTATACTATAGCAGTTTCCATTATCCCAATACTAACCCTTTGACCGCGGTTGGCCTGAGCTCTGACCGCAAACTTTCTGAAATCCTCTTCCAGAAGTCTACACCACAAGAACCCATGCACTAGTATGAAGCTGCATACATCATTCTCAAACACTGGTGAATAACGGTCGAAATGAAAAAGGGAAAACAGTGATGATAGCAATAACAACAACGGTAATGACAGTAGTAGCAATAACAATACTAGAAATAACAACAATAATAATGGTACCTCAATACTGAGAGACTAGGTTGGTCCTTCGGATCCCCAGCAGACCAGGCCAACCGGAAGCTGTACGGCCCCGGGTCCATGCTGACCATGCCTGCACGCGATCAGCGGATCTGCTTGGCCGCATAGGGTAGTTCCCCAAAACAAGAAGACCCTAATACAGAGCCCCAAATACTCCTATAATCCTTATCATAAGGACCCCCAAAAAGGAACCCCTTTTTGTGGGAAACCCCTTTAGCTTCAACCATTCTTACGGAAGCTTTGTTGCAGCCTCCAGTACCTCACCTACCTTATTGAGGCTAGTGCTCCGTGGGCTCAAAGCTCGCGAAGTGCAGCTAAGCCCAGTTTAGCACTATCCCAATATTACCCCAATATACTATAGTAGTCTCCATTTTTTCCATTATCCCAATATACAACCCCAATATACTATAGCAGTTTGGGATGTTATCGTCTGGTCTTGCATGTAGCCTGACACCGTTTTTGCATGCTTGTCTTCTAGACAACGAGGCAGCCAGCACACCAGCCAGCGCACTAGGTTCTGGACCGTAAGGCAGGATTGGATCCTAGCTAGTGATCTGTACTTATGCAAGGTGCACTGCGCAAAGGGGTGCTGCCAAAGCCAGGATCCTGACAAAACTGTAGACATCTCTGGCGCACGTGCTCGATGACTGCTTTTAGCATCAATAAAAATGGCGCTTGTTGAAGAGGAGTGATTCTCCGAAGTGGTTATGCTACGTGGCCTGCTTGCCAAGAAATGAGAAAGACTTCCACAAGCCCAACTGCTGAGGACCACACCGAATGGAGTTGTGGCTGCGACTGGTACCAGAGTCTCAGCCTGCATGAATTGCTTGGGCCCTTCTGCATGCTCGAGAACTTTGGTAGGCCCACATCGAGTTTAACATTACTTTTTGGCAAGCCTCTAGCAAGTAGCTCCTGGCTGAGCAAACAACCAGGCAGATTCCAACTCCAGATCCCAAGCAAAGAGCCACAGAGAAGCTCCACAAGCTTCTGCTACAGCATGGAACTCAAGACACTTCTTCAAGGCACTCACTCTACAAGCCAGTGCTGATGCTGATGCCGATGCTGATGCTGGAGCCAGCTGATCAAGGTCGACGACTTTGCTGCTGTTGTTCAGTGAGTAATGGCAGTAGCGCTGCTGAAAGCGCTCGGTCAGCTTGAGGATCAGCGCGGTCTCTTTCTCGAAGCAGGAGAAGCCACAATCAGCGAGGCTTTTGAAAAGGACCAGTAGGAAGTGGCTGGCCTTGTTGCTGCGACTGTAGGTGCGCTGGAGAACACTGTTCCGTTCGGACAAAGAACGAAGAAGATCTCCAAACATGACGACAAAGCCCATTATTCCCATCATGTTCCTCAGGTGACTCCCGCGTAGGCCAGCAGTGACCATGTTCGCACACGGCGCACATCTGAAAATGCCATAGTCGAGAATGGATCTCAGGGAATGAACTAAGTCAGCCCCAGCAACTTGAGGTCAACCACAATACTTTGGGTTGGGCCCCCACCCACTATTAGTGGTATACTAAGGACCCCTATATAATTACCATTATCTATTGTGATCACTATTAGTGGGTGGATGCCCAACCCAAAAAAGACTGCCAACTAAGTTGACCCGGTACACTCAGCTACCTAAAGCCCCTCAAAGGCAGCTGAAGGTGGTTTCCATCTTCTTTACCATTATCCCGATGTAATCCTATATTGTACCTCTATATTATCCCCCTATACTGCCCCCTCGGGTCCTAAGGTTACAGAATATATAACCCAATAAAACCCGAATATAACCCTAATATAGCCTTAACATAGCCCCAATATTTCCCCAATCATAATCCTAATATAACACCAATAAAACCACAATAGTACCCCAATATTACAACAGTATAACCCTAATATAACCTTAACATAACCTTAATATAACCCCAAAATAGCCCTAATATAACCCTAATAGAGCCCCAACAACAGAATCAGCCTGGGTTTAGAAGAACACGGTCCCACCAAATCTCAGCGTAGCCCAAGGCCAGCAACCTCTCCTTGATCCAGGCGCCGTGGTTTGGCAGCGACAGATTTAGCAGTAGCACCAAACGAGGTGCACAAGCCTTCTCCACCTGAGCAGTGTTTTTTTGTGGTTAGACCTAGTAAGAATACATTCCTTATATAAAATACTATACCCCAAAAAGGAGGATAGA